CAACAGGTGGAGACACAGTCAACAGGTAGAGGCACAATCAATAGGTAGAGACACAGTCAACAGGTAGAGGCACAATCAACAGGTAGAGGCACAGTCAACAGGTAGAGGTACAGTCAACAGATAGAGACACAGTCAACAGGTAGAGGTACAGTCAACAGGTAGAGGTGCAGTCAACAGGTAGAGGTGCAGTCAACAGGTAGAGGTTACAGTCAACAGATAGAGACACAGTCAACAGGTAGTGACACAATCATCAAGTCTATGATATTCAGTGTCGAGAAATGAGCGACAAAGAAAAAAGTCACCTAAACTGAAGAAGAAAAAAATATGTGATAACAAAATAAATGTTATGTTCACCCCAATTTTCTTGTAAACTGAGTGGTCGTGCTTAGAGACCTTAGTTGTTGAATCACATAAGTGCATTATGATAACAAATATTAACAAAATCCTTCCAATAATACGTTTACAAGTGCATTCATAACAGTGACTTAAACCCTGTTAAGAACTTATTCCCACAAATCATAACGAAATATTAACCTAAATCATAACAAATTATTCCCTCAAATTATAAAAAAATATTCCTCCAAAATTATAAAAAAAAAGATTCCCCATAAATCATAACAAAATATTCCCCTAATTCATAACAAAATATTTCCCCAAATAATATCTTCTAAAAACCAATTTACATCAATAAGTTCGGATGACGCACGTCCTTATCATCCAACCGATTAATGGAGCTTAACCAAAACTCGGTTACGTCACCCCTTGCCATCACTCCCCGAGGCCGGGAAGACTGTCACGTAACCTGTCTCTCTGTCAGACACGCACACCCCCGACAGGAACGCCAGGTCGTCTGTCATTCATTGCCATTCTATTCACTCCAGCTCGTGCGTGGAGGGTTGCCGTGGTCAGGCTAGTAAAGCATCTTTCAGTAACTGGCTTAATGAAGGTCTCGCACTGACCAATAACACAATCTCTCTGACTGACCAATAACGCATACTTTCTACCAATAAGACAAGCTCATAGGCAATATATAGACTATAACTTATTACCTAATAATCAAATAATAACCATGGGAGAAATGATGCACTGTCTGAGGAAATTTAAGGAAAAAGCCCCTGGGCTCACAGGTATTACACGAAATATGATCATGAATCTACCTGAAAACATTTTAAATACACTATTAAACATTTATAACGCATGCTTAATAACTGGTTACTTTCCAGACAAACTAAAATATGCTAAAATGATATTTATTCCTCAGGAGGGTAAGGACAATAAGGAAATATTAAACTACAGGCCAATATCTTTATTAGAAATTACCGGGAAACTATTGGAAAAAATATTAAATTCAAGACTTATAGCCTTTTTAACACAACATGGGAAAACTAACAACAGACAACATGGATTTATGCCCAATAGAAATACCCTAACTGCAATAGCTACAATAACGGAAATAATTGCAATAGAAAAAAGCAAGGGTAACCAGATCAATATAATTTTAAGGGATGTTTCTAAGGCTTTTGATAAAGTTTGGCATTTAGGCTTGAAATATAAAATATTAAAACTGGGACTTAACGAATACTTGCTAAGAATATTGTGTAACTATTTAGATGATAGGAGAGCACAAATTCAAATTGGAAACTTTATGGGAACTATGTTTAATCTTGAGAGTGGAGTACCTCAAGGAGGATGCCTTTCTCCAACACTATATACAATTTATACTTCAGACACACCTCAACCTACCCCCTTTAGCGAATATGTAATGTTTGCTGATGATATTACTCAAATAGTATCATACCCAGGAAAATCAACCCAATTTATGGCACTCTACACGGTAAGAGCGATAAAAAACATAAATGATTTTGAGAAAAAATGGAAAATCAGGACAAATAAGAACAAATTCAAGATAATACCAATAGCCAAGATTAAAACAAGTCCAGTAATAGTCGACCAGGAACTATACCCATACGACACTGAAGGCAGGATGCTTGGATTAAAACTAACAAAAAGAGGATATATAACATACTTAAAAGATAAAGAACGACAGGCAAGAATAAGATTATCAAAAATAAAACGCTTTAAGAACCTTAGCATTAATAACAAAAGAAAGATTTATATTGCCCTTGTCAAATCAATTATGGACTACCCACCCATCCCATTGAACACCCTTAGCAAAACGTGCATTAAAAGGTTACAAACAGTACAAAATATAGCCCTCAGATTTATATATAACATAAAATATGCAGACCACATCAATAATGAACAGCTACACAAAAGAGCAAACCTCTTAGCAATCAATGTAAATATACACAACAAAGCTGTAAATATTTGGAAAAAAGTGACTGAACTTAACACAGAAACATATCAAAACTGGATAAATAATATAGACAACGAAGAATTCCAAGAACACAGTTGGTTTAAATCAGCCAGGAAGAAAGTAATTGAACCATCTCCTGCCCCAATATACATATAAAACATTAATAGAGAGAATAAAAGATGAGAGTGACCTACCAGCTCCACAAGAACCTGGCAGGCCTCTCCATACAGTGTACCTTTAGACTAACATAACTAATATTTAACATTTAACATTTAACATTTAACATTTAACATTTAACATTGAACTAACATCTTAGTAAAAAAAAAAAAATGTGACTACCCTCCCAGCTACACAAGGACCTGGGCGGGCTCACTAACTCCATAAAAAAAAAAAAAAATATAATATATATATATATATATATATATATATATATATATATATATATATATATATATATATATATATATATATATATATATATATATATATATATATATATATATATATATATATTAATAATAATAATAATAATAATGTGATTACCCTCCCAGCTATATCAGCCAGGAAGAAGTAATTGAACCACCTCCTGCCTCAATATACACATTTCTACATAAAACATTACTAGAGGAATAAAGATGAGAGTGACCAACCAGCTCCACTAAGAACCTGGCAGGCCTCTCCATACAGTGTACCCTTAGACTAACACAACTAACACTTAACTAACACCTCAAAAAAAAAAATGTGACTACCCTCCCAGTTACACAAGGACCTGGGCGGGCTCACTAACTCCAACAATAATAAAAATAATAATAATAAGCAGCATTATATAAATAAACCAATATTAATACAAAGGTCTGACGACCCAAGGGAGCAGAACAAAGACAAAACACCAATAAGAAAGATGAAGCGATCTGGTTGAGCCCAGATTCTTTCTACTCCTACTGTACTTCAGTTTCACCACTTTTCCTTCAACCCCTAATAATCTTCTTTCACCTCTTAACTAAAGACTTCGTATCGTATCGTACCAATAAGGCGATCTCTCTAACTGACCAATAAGACAAGCTCCCTGACTGACCAATGAGGCAAGCTCGCTGACTAACCAATAAGACAAGCTCCCTGATTGACCAATAAGGCAAGCTATCTCACTGACCAATAAGGCGAGCTCTCTAAATGATCAGTAAGTAGAATTTCTAAATGACCAATAAGTAAAGTACTGTGAATGGCTGGTGAACAAAGTCTATACACCGGTACGACATACTGTAGAGCAACACGCTCACTACGTTAGCTACTTAGGTTCCAGCGCGTTATCTGTCAATCGGTGGACGATTACGTTTTAAACAAAAGCCATTTGTGGATGTCATTGACCTCTGTGGTTAATGTCTTACTTCATTGTTTAAGATGTAATGTATTAAGAAATAAGTGAAGAATGATCTTTAAATGTGCTAATCAAGATTTGATGGATATTACTAATAATAATATTTATACCAGTATATAGTTGCAGTCAAACCGTGTAATAACACATTTTGCGAGATGACTGATTTTTTTTAGTCAAATAATGAAATGAATGTTTCACCTAGTCTAATCTAACCTAACTAACATAATATGACGTAACACAACATTACATTATGTTATGTTAGGTTAGGTTACGTTACGTTACGTTACGTACGTTACGTTACGTTACGTTAAGTTACGTTACGTTACGTTAGGACCTAACCTAACCAGACCCGCGTAAAACATCCATTTCGCTATTTGATGAAAAAAATCAGCTATTTAGTAACATGCCTGATTCCACGGTTTAACTGTAACATATACATGGTGTTCCGAAAATACCTTTCATAGATGAGGGGTGTATTCCTGAGAAATAAATAAAGATAAATGACTAAATGACCAAATCGCACAAATGAGTGTCGCACACGTTCAAAGACCCCAGGGGCGTTGAGAATGATTGTCACACTGTCCTGCACACGGCATCACAATTCCTCGCGGTTTGGGACCTTACTTTTTACGTGACCCCCACCGGTAGAAATCAAGGGGATTTGTCAGGTGACCGAGGTGGCACCTGTCATGTGCTGTAACTCTGAAACTATTGAGAATTGACAATTTGGTCCCATAGTCATTTATCTTTATTTATATCTCAGGAATTCGCCCCTGATTTATGAAAGGTATTTAAGGAACACCCTTTATATTATAAGGTTCTTATACCGTGAATGTTCATACATGAATATTCTTCATTAATAATTATAAGGTAAGAAAAAACTTATTATACGAAAATTAATTAATCAAATGTATTTCTTTGTAGTACAATATATTTTCTTCCTTCACATTACAAATAAAAACATTATTTTGAAAGTTTTAACTTAAAGTAGTAGTGAAAATTTGCCCTCAGCTCTGCGTGAATCCTGAGACGGCCACGGCAGGAAAGGACGACCTTTAGACGGTAAAGGAACTCCCGCCTCTGATCTAGGTGTTTCAGATCAGTTGCTCTGTAACTATTTGCCATATCCTTTACCACCACCTCCACCGCCACCACCACCTCCACCGCCACCACCACCTCCACCACCTCCACCACCATGACCACCGCCTCCAAAGTTGAAATTGATGCTTCCAGGGCCTCCACCACCACCAAACGCGCCACCACCGCCGCCGCCACCGCCCCCGAGGTTAAAACTGGCACTTCCAGTACCTGCACTGCCTCCGTAGCCACCACCTCCGCCCCCACGACCTCCACCACCATGACCTCCGCCTCCAAGGTTGAAACTGGAGGTTCCAGTACCTCCTCCACCCCCACCAAAGCCGACACCACCCCCGCCGCCACCGCCATAACCACCTCCTCCAAGATTAAAACTGGAGGTTCCAGTACCTCCGCCACCACCAAAGCCGCCACCACCAAAGCCGGCACCACCGGCGTCGTCGCCGCCGCCGCCGCCGCCGCCAAAGCCGCCTCCATGACCGCGGCTACCAAGGACGAAGCTGATAGATCCAGTGTTGTCACCGCCTCCTCCTCCGCCGCCGCCAGCGTATCCGCTGCCACCGTATCTGCTGCCACCTCCTAGTCCGCCTGGCATGGCCAAACTGGACACCACCAGGAGAGTCATGCCCAGGGACACTATCACCAACTTCTGAAATTGTGTGAAAAAAATTAATTCATTACAGAGTGACAAGTTGACGCCTAAAAATATATATTTTAAAGTGTGTTATTTCTTTAATTGCTAAACAGCATTTGCATTGATCAGGACGGAGATCACTTTCAATGCGATCTGTTTACCAGGTACTGGCTAAGTCTCTTTACTCTTCCTTTATAAAAACCATTAACTATTTCCTTCGATTATCTACTATTTACTATCATCCTTTATCTTGAGATTGTTTATTAAATTAATTAATACAGAGTAGAATCAAAGACTGATATTTTTCATTATAGTTTTTGATTGAAATAAGTTGTGGAGTCGTTTTTCACTCTGAACCAACTATAGAGAATCTCCTCGAACGAATCACATGGGCAGTTCACATTACGAAGCTTACAGATATCGTTCCGGAAAAATTCTTACGCCTGTATTATTAATCAACTCTTCCCTTGAAGGGTCGTCGTGTTTCAACCCGAGTTTTAAATGAGTCCTGAGGGACACCGCAGTACAGTACTTGACGGGGTGGTGTGGCGGTAAAATTGACTAATTCCAATATTATAAATTAATTTTATTGGAATTAGTTAATTTTACCGCCACACCACCCTGTATTGCGGTGTCCCTCAGGACTCATTTAGTTTAAAACTCGGGTTGAAACACGACGACCCTCTTCAAGGGAAGATGTTGTTTAATAATACGGGCGTTAGCCCCTTTGGGTATGATGACTTTAATAACCCCGTGAGCATGATGATTTGAATAACCCCTTTACGTATGATGATTCTAATAACCCCATGAGTATGATGACTTTAATAGCCCATTGAGTATGATGACATTTTTAGCCTTTGAATACGGTGAGCTTAATAACCCCTTGAATATGATGACTTTAACCCCAGGAGTGCATTAACATGGTACTGATGAGGTTAAGACCTTATATGTAAGGGATTAAATCACCGTAAGCAAGCAGTAAATTGCATTCATTGTCTACCATTAAAATTGCCTGCCTTAATTTCTTTTGGAAGTGTGTCGACAAACGCTGAAAATAATATGCCCTAAAATCATCTAAAATTTTATAAATTTTGGGTGATAGAAACATTCAGTAAAACTTAAATTTTTTTTAGGTTAATTTCGATTTTCAAAAGGTTTAAGACGTTACTCACTTCTTTATGTTTTGTGGAAAGATTCAAAATAACATGAGTATCATCAATCAACTTTAGAAAACAGTCAAATGGAGAAACATTACAGATAACTTTAACTTAATGTGTATTGGAATGTACAACTCGAATGATATATTTGGTATTATTTGATAGAGAAGTAAAATGCTCTGCCTCAATTTACCCAAACGTCATTTATGGCCCAGACCGTCCTTTCATTGTTGAGAATCCTTGAGCATTGATCCGGTAGTCACTCACAAAAGTCCTGTCGTATCTCCTGCTAGTCCACGAACCCCGAGATTTAGACTCCTGAACCCGAAGTAGTAAACACTGATGCATGATTTCACCCGTAAATGTTTCTGATTTGCGAGTCTCATCTCGGGGTTTGTAGTTCAAGAGGAGAGGCGACAGGAGTTTTATGGGTGACTGTACATGTATTCAAGGAACTGAAGACTAAAGTGATTCAAAATTCCTTCGACTCATGAGTGTGAATGTCAGTTCAATTGTTCAAAACATGTTGTATCACTGGTTGGAAATTAATCTGGTGCAATTATAAGACTTTCGGTGATGTTTCGTTGCTTCGTCAAAGTTCTAATAAACTTAGAGAATCATCGTAGCGTTAGATGTGTTGTCACTAGGAGAAAAACGCGTTGCATTATTGACATGACCAAATATATCTCTATATAGTTCGTCGTAAATAACAGATAAACAGAAAGACAGAGAAAGATAGAGGAAAACAGAGACAAAGACAAATAAAGAGAAAAAACTCACTTTAAAATATTGTTATTGCCAAGGTGCGGTCCCAGCAGACTCCATATTGTACACAAAATGGTATAGTTGAAAGAGGCCATACTAAATCTTACCATTTTGGTGTTGTCAGAATCAAGCTCCTTGACGAACTGAATGAAGAGATGAGTTGGTGAGATCTTATATACTCCAACTGAAAGAACACGTCACCCAGGTCTTCACAATCACAGTTAGATTTTCTACTTCTTAGACCTAATTATTTTAATGCTCTCTTGTTTTTAAATTCTCATAACTTTCAGTAATATATCAATGGTGAATTAAGAGACGTAAACGACGAGATTGCCTTTCAATTTCTTTATTTCTGATTTTTTGATAAATAATCCAAATAATACATAGATGCATACATACAGTACATACTTACATACATACATTCATATAATGGTCGCCCCTCGTGTAACGAGGATGGCCGGTCCAAGGGCCACCTAGGTGCGAATTTGTTTAAGGTATAGAAGCTGTCGCCAACACAACAACCGGTGTGGTTGTTGTGTGAAGGAATAGTCCGAGAAGACCGGACAACTCGCCAACTGCACTGGTTAACCATTACCCCGGAACACGATTTGCAAATCGATTAACACCCTGGTTTCCAATTACTGCTGGGTAGACAGAGGCAAGAGGTGTAAAGAAACTTGCCCATAGTTCACCCTGACGGGGATCGAACCCAGGTCCGTTCGCTTGCCAGGCGAGCATGCTGACTACATACATACATACTTTACATACATACATACATACATACATACTACAACTTTGCCGTCACTCGCAATCGAGTATGGCGATCATCGACCGATGACAACATGAAATTAGTTATTTAGGATGTCACCTTCGTTGGTGAGCTCTGAGGTGACTGGCGAGGCCGATACTGGACCGACAGGATCGTCCACAGTTGTTGAGCGTGTGGAGAGCTACATATAGTGCGGGAGGGGCAGCGGAAGCGTCTTTTTTGGCGTTGGTGCTTGTCTGCCTCGGTGTGCAGTCGGGCTTACTCGAAATTATTGACACCTTCTCGTGTGGTGCTCCTCCAAGCATTCGGTGTGTAGAGTAATCGTCTCCCAGATATGGGGTTTGATTTGGCACTTTTTTAGTTTGTCTGAAGACTATTTTTATATATTTTCAGTTGCCCGCCAGCTTTACGTTTACTATTCGTTAGGTAACTCTAAAGTAGCTGCTTTGGCACTCTACTGTTGTCCATGCTGGTAACATGGCCAGTCACATGCAGTTGTTCATGGATAATGGTAGCCTCAATGCTCCTACAGTTGGTGTCAACGAAAATACTGGCATTTGTTCTCTTCTCTTCCCAGCGAACACCGAGGATGGATCGTAGACTACGTTGGTGAAAGTTTTCAAGTGCCTTGAGGTGCCTCCTGCATGTGACCCATGTCTCACTGCCAGATAGCAGGGTGGGGAGGACCACTGCTCGATATAGGTGCAACTTTGTAGATACTTTCGGCACCCTACAACTGAAGACACTAATACGGAGTTTCCCAAAGGCTTGAGATGCACATCTGATCCAATGTTGAATCTTTTCATCGATGCCCGCGGTGGTGGACAGATGGAAGCTGAAATACCGAAAGTGGGTAACATTAGAGAGGGTAGTTACTGTTAATCTAGATGGATGGTGGATTTGTGGCTGAACCAGGGGCAGGCTGAAAGAGAATCTGAGTCTAATGTACATTCACCTGAAGGCCAAAGTGTGCATACTCATCTGCGTAGATGTTCAGGATCTCCTGTAGGTCGCATTCAGTGTGAGCTACAAAGGTGAAGTTGTTTGCATTCTAAAGTTCAGTAATGGAAGCTGTCGACACCTTTGTTCCTGCCTGGAGTCGTCTTATGTTAAAAAGACCCTTCATCCGGGTACTCGATGGACACCCCGCTGGCTAAATTGGCACTGGCACGAGTAAGGAAGGCAGCCTCAAAAATGGAAAAGTGAGCTGGTGCCTGTACACATCCTTGTTTTACCCCCGTTTGGATGGGGTAGAGCTCAGACTGGGTGTCATTGTGCAGGACACTGCTGTTCATGCCATCGTACAGTTGCTTCACAATGGAGAAGAATTTTGGTGGGCGGCTAAAGCGGTTCAGGGTCTACCAGGGGGATTCACTGTTGACCGAGTCGAAGGCCTTGGTTAGGTCGATGAAGGCCATGGACAGTTCACGACGCTGTTCTCTGCACTTTTTATGTATATGGCGGGCAGCAAATACTATTTCAGTGGTGCCACATGATGGTCTAAAGTCACATTGAAATTCTGGGGGAAAGTTCTCCTCCTCAGGAAGAAGTCTGTTTAGGAGGACTCGGGCGATAATCCTGCCAGCTAGAGACAGCAGTAAGATGCCGTGGGAGTTGCCACAGTCTGACTGGTCTCCCTTCTTTTTATAAATATTGATGAAAGATGCGTGTTTCAGAGTTTTTGGGAATACATCCTTTTCCTATATATTCTCCTGGAGAAAGTGGAGTCGACTGATAAGCAGAGGTCCTCCTGCTTTATACACCTCGGCTGGGATTCCACCAGGCCCTGAAACTTCGTTATTCTCCATCTGTTTGATGGCAGTAGCTACCTCTTCCAGGGATGGAGGATAGCTGAGGTGGGTCAGCTATGGATGCTGAGGGACCTGCTGGGTAATCAGGACAGCCACATCGGTGTTTCGGTTGAGCAGCGAATGGTAATGCTGTTTCACGTGTCATGTGTTGATATGCAATTTTTTGCGTTTCACATGCTTTATTTTTAAGCCAGTCGTTCTTTAGATTGCGAAGTTTGCGCTGGGCCGCAGCGTTCTTCTTGAGGAAGGTATTAGCTTTGGTCTTAGACTGAGGTCTGTTCTGCTAATCAGTTAAAGCAGCACATTTATCATCGATGAGTACTTTGATTTCCGGGTCATTTTCATTAAAACCAGTCCTGGTGTATTCTTTCGATCTGGTCGAGGGTCTCTCTGCAGGTTTTTGTCATGACAGTGTCGAGAATACCCCGATTCGGCACTGGGATTAGGGTTGTTTGTTGTCGGCTTGTTTATCAGCCCATGTTCAAGGTGTTCTCTGAAAACATTTGCTACCGCTGGATCCTCCTAAGCCGATGATCAGTGTCGCAGTAGTCTGAGCCACGCATGGCTCGGGTTAGGAGAACATCTCTGCGATCTCTTTCTCTGACAATGATGTTGTCAATGAGATGCCAGCGTTTGGATGTTGGGTGTTGACACAAACCCTTGAACTTGTCTGCTTGCCTAAACAAGGTATTAGTGATAGTGAGGTTGTCTGCAGCACACTTGCTGAAAAGGAGTAAGCCAATTTTCCCTTTGTGCAAGACTTAAGCCATCAACTTGTTTAACTCCACTCCATGGTGAGGTATTAGGCTCATAGTTCATCATTCTATTGTACAATTACCTGACTGAATTGATATTATATAAACGAATAACTAACACACACACACACACACACACACACACACACACACACACACACACACGTAATAAAATCTCTAAAATACTAGCCATCGAGATAAGATTGACAATGATAAAATTTTCAGAAAACAGCTGATAATTCATTCTTGAAGACTAATCATCAAAACATTTTCTGTCATCCACAATAAAGGTGTCTGAATCGCTGGTTTCCCTTTGACATGGCAGTGAAATTCCCTGCAGGTGTGAGGAGGCAGTGTGATCAAGTGACCTTTTTTGTAAATCTGCCTCAATTCTATACCCAGCCTTAGGGATAGAACTTACTCATTAACAAATTTATAGGTCGTTCAATAAGTCTTATGCATGTCTTTAGTTTTTGTTCTCTGTTGAATAACTATTAATCAATTTCATTTATAATCATAATATACTTTAAGCATCATTAATATTATTCAATCTATGGTCTTATAAAATATCGAGTATCGTGTTGTCATATTTTTCGACAATTGGCTCGGTGTTGCTGAAGCGACAGAGGACTATAAACGGAGAGGAAGAAGGCGGATAGGAGGATATAGAAAAAATAAAAAGGGAAGAAGTAGGAGAAGATGAAGAGATAAAGAGGAAAAAGGAGCAAAAATTAAGTAAAAGATCAATAAAAAAAATGAAGGGTTTCCAACAGAAGGTATAAGAGTGCAGTAATATCTCTGGGTCACACTGTGGTTTACACTATTTAACGAGGCATTTATATTATTTCGAGAGTTGATGACAATGTAAAAGAAATATCGAGTAATAGCGATTAAGAAAATGCAGAATAACCTAAGATATGTCACGCGCGTCAAGGCCTCGATGACAAGGTTCCCACAGCCACGGGTATATAAGCTCTCCAACACACAGGTCCACATCGAACTCAATTTGGGACTTCCTACTGCCAACACCAATATGGTAAGATATCACTTACCATCCTTTTCTTCAAGTGCTGTCTCTTCTGAGTCTCCTTTACTTACAATAGTGCTTATTAATACTTGTTTTGTCTTATACTGTTGACTAGTTTACTATCATTTACCATCCTCGTCAAGAATATTTTCTGTAATTAGTCTCAGTGTCATTCAGTAAAGGCCAAGTGAACCTGCCGTCAGTCTTAGTGCTTCATAATCAATATATGAGTGTTCAGAAACCAAGTTAGATGATAAGTGTTAGAAAGTTTCTGAGAAACGTGAAAGTGTGGATAATGTAAATTAAGTCCACAAGTACCCTCTTAGTAAATCTGTTTAATATTCAAAGTAAGAGCATATACAAAACCGTGTTGGATATATGGGTGATAGCTGCCAGGAAAGACGCGCGTACCTGTATGTGTGTGTGTGTGTGTGTGTGTGTGTGTGTGTGTGTAGCGAGAAAGTTCACCTATCTCGAATTACAGAGATGGAAAAAAGACAGGAGTAATAAAGGGTATATAACTGGAGGATTAGCAGTGAGTTGTTGACAGTGTTATTGATTTCATATATTTCTGTACTTCAACACCAAAGGTCCTTCAGAACGTAGACAAATTAAGTTAATCCACTAGAGAAATATCATTAGGAAATGAGGAAAATATACCTGTAAATTATGGAGGGTGACAGGTGGAGGAGCGAGTTAAATGCCTGGCTTGATAGGATTATTATATACCCATACAGCCTCTTGCTTAAGGTTGAAAATTTCACTTGTGTTACAAGTTAGTTATTGAGGAAATTTTAGAATTAGATGAAAGTATTGACATTTTTCACACACACACACACACACACACACACACACACACACACACACACACACACACACACACACACACACACGTCTTAAACAATATTTCTCTTTGGCGCAACAACACCTACTTTGACACTGGAAAACTTCATCTTATTTACTTCATGACATAAAAATGATCTCCAATTCTATACGCATTAAAAATACATACAGGGTACATATCTTGAGAGTAACTTTTCGAACTTTTTTCCTATTTTTTTTAGATTCGTAATACCGGGGAAGGGAAAATTTTAATTCTTTGAGTACGATGCCTTTACCCCCTTGAGTACGATGCCCTAACCCCTTTGAGTACAATGCCTTATCCCCCTTGAGTACGATGCCTTAACCCCCTTGAGTGCGATGCCTTTAACCCCTTTGAGTACAATGCCTTATCCCCCGTGAGTGCGATGGCACTGTATTCGTTGAATTCCGTCATCGAATTAAAAAAGTTTAAGCACCATGTTCAAGGGATTGAGTCTTAATTAGATAAGGATAATAATAAGAAAGTCCTCATTCATTTGTATCACCTGACTTATCAAGTCTATTCCTCTACAACTCCAAAAGAGAAGAGGATTAAATGGTACAGAAACCTCAGAGGAAGAAAAATAGAAAACAAGAAAATAATGAGATAAAACAGATAGAAGGAAGGACATGAAACAGAGAGTCATCATTTATGGCACTAAATCCGATTGGGGTAATGTCATTAGTGGAGTACCCTAAGGCTCAGTACTTAGGCCATTACTATTCATTATATACATAAAAGATATAGATATAGGCGTAGAAAGCAACATAAGTATATTTGCTGACGACACTAAAATAGGATGTGTAATTAAATCTGACCAGGCTCCGTAAAACAACAGGAAGATCTAAACAAATTTTTTGCATGGTCTAAAAAATGGCAGATGAAATTTAATGTCGAAAAATGTAAACTACTTAGTCTATGCGATGTAAACAGAGAAACCAGATATCATATGAACAACATTGCTATAGAAAGATTCAATAGTGAGAAGGTTTCATGAGTAATGATAAGTAGAAATCTTAAACCAAGACAACAAGGCATATTTGATCGAAACGAGGTTAACAAAGTACTTGGATTTATGTAAAGGAGTGTTATTTACAAGAATAGCGAGGTTATCCTAAATTATATATTGCGCTTGTGAGACTTCACTTGCATCGCGGTTCAGTTCTGGTCACCGTACTACGGAATGGATATCGAATCCCTAGAAAGCATCCAGAGGAAGATGAAAAGATTGATCCCGGACATTATGAACCTTCAGTTTTCTGTAGAGACAGATTAAAGCATCTGAATTTTCACTCCTCCGAGAGACGTAGGGTGAGGGGCGATAAGATCGAGGTGTATAAATGGAAGTCAGGGTTAAACAAAGGTGATATAACAAAGGCACTCAATCTATCCAACCAGGAGCGAACTCGTAGCAATAGTTATAAATTACAAATTTAGATTTAGGCGCGAGATAGGTAAACACTGGTTTGGAAAAAGAGTAATGGATGAGTTGTACAAGTTACCGTACATCATCATTAACTCGAACACGCTAGGTTGCTTTAAATGCAGGTTGGACGGATATATGGGCAATAGGGGTTAGGTGTATACGGGGCTGCCCAGTTTTGGCCAATAGGCCAGCTGCAGTTTCCTCCATTCTTATGTTCTTATGTTAAGAGAGGGCTAAGACAGCTAGCAGAAATATTCCATTCATGCTTAAAGAACATAAGAACATAAGAAAATAAGGAGTCTGCAATAGGCCGGTTGGCCTGTGCATGGCAGCTCCTGTCGAGAGTTACTACCACTCTCTATCATCCATGAATCTATCTCGCCTCCTTTTGAAACTTTCCAGAGTTCCCGCACTTACTACAAAGTTGCTAAGCTTGTTCCACTCGTCCACCACCCTATTTGTGAACCAATTCCTTCCTATCTCCCTCCTAAACCTAAATTTATCCAACTTAAATCCGTTGCTCCGAGTCCTATCCTGCTCGGATATTATAAGAACTTTATCTATATCCCCTTTATTGATTCCTTTCACCCACTTAAATACTTCTATCATATCTCCCCGCACTCTTCGTCTTTCTAGGGAATGCAAGTTAAGTTTCTTTAGCCTATCCTGATATGGAAGGTTTCTAAGTCCCGGAATCATTTTTGTCATTCTTCGCTGCACCGTCTCTAGTGAATTTATAACCATTCTATAATAGGGGCACCAGAACTGAACCGCATAATCGAGGTGTGGCCTGACTAGCGCAAGATATAGTTGCAATAAGACCTCTGCACTCTTGTTACTTACACTTCTAGATATAAAACCCAATACTTTTAGTATCCTTCAATTTAAAATACAGTACAAAAAAGTCAATATCTTAGCCACTGCATAGATTCAAAAGACTATATTATTACAATTTATTTACAGGAAATAAAACAGTTATCAAGTCTCTTTTTGTTTCTGTGTTCGTAAGTTGATAAAAAAAAATTTCTTATACACGTGTTGCCAAATAATTGTTTCGTACAACAGTTCAATCCAGATATCTGATAATGAGTGGGCAATATGATATCATTTTCTTGTTCTTTTTCAGAAGTTGGTGTTAATGTCAATGGGCGTGGCCCTCCTGGCTGTGGTCAGCTTCGCCAGGCCAGATGGACATGGAGGTGGCTACGGTGGCAGTGGCAGTGGTGGTGGCATCATTTTCAACCTCGGTGGAGGTGGCGGCGACTTTGGTGGTCTTGGAAGTAGCGGTGGAGGCGGTGGCGGTGGTGGTGCTGGAGGTACAGGAACTGCTAGCTTCATCCTAGGAGGACATGGAGGCGGAGGCGGCGGCTTCGGTGGTGGCGGCGGTAAGGGCGGCGGTGGTGGAGGCAGCGGCTTTGGTGGCGGCGGTGGTGCTGGATCTTCAACCAACAGTTTTAGCCTTGGGGGCCATGGAGGTGGCGGCGGCGGCTTTGGTGGTGGCGGCGGTGGCGGTGCCGGCGGCGGTGGTGGTGCCGGCGGCGGTGGTGGCGGTTTTAGTGCTGGATCTTCAACCAACAGTTTTAGTCTTGGGGGCCATGGAGGTGGCGGCGGCGGCTGGTGGTGGCGGCGGTGGCGGTGCCGGCGGCGGTGGTGGTGCCGGCGGCGGTGGTGGTGCCGGCGGCGGTGGTGGTGCCGGCGGCGGTGGTGGCGGTTTTAGTGCTGGATCTTCAACCAACAGTTTTAGTCTTGGGGCCATGGAGGTGGCGGCGGCGGCTGGTGGTGGCGGCGGTGGCGGTGCCGGCGGCGGTGGGTGGTGCCGGCGGCGGTGGTGGTGCCGGCGGCGGTGGTGGCGGTTTTAGTGCTGGATCTTCAACCAACAGTTTTAGTCTTGGGGGCCATGGAGGTGGTGGCGGCGGCTTCGGTGGTGGCGGCGGCGGCTTCGGTGGTGGCAGCGGTAAGGGCGGCGGTGGTGGAGGCGGCGGCTTTGGTGGCGGCGGTGGTGCTGGATCTTCAACCAACAGTTTTAGTCTTGGAGGCCATGGTGGTGGTGCTGGTGGAGGCTTTGGCGGTGGCCGCGGTGGTGGCGGAGGCGGCGGCGGCGGCGGCGGCAGCAGTGGTGGTTTTGGAGGCGGTAGCGGTGGTGGCGGTGGTGGTGGCGCCGGCGGCTCTGGAGCAGGAACTTCATCCAGTGGTTTCAGTCTTGGAGGCCATGGAGGCGGCGGCTTTGGTGGAGGTGGCGGCGGTGGTGCTGTTTTCTTTGGCTCCGGTGGTGGTGGAGTCGGCAGTGGCAAGGGAGGTGGAGGCGGTGCTGGCGGCGGTGGCGGCTACGGAAAATAAACCAAGAAAATCTTACAGGCTACGAGGCCACAGGTGATTCCCTTGCTTGGTTAACAACTCCACAATGTCTTTGCTTCTTATGTTCTATCCAGAGTCAGCCATTTAAACTGTGTATTTATGTGAATGTGGCCAATAAATATAAGATATAATACTCAATGCATTTTTACTTTTCCATTCTTTTACACTGTTATGTCGTACGGAATAAATACTTCGACATTTAAAAAATGGCATTTGGTGATATTGGAAACTCCAAAAACACCATGAAGTATACGACTACAACTACTACTTCTACAACGAATACTTCTGCTGAGACTATTTTTTCTACTACTTCTACTACTATTACTACTACTACGTGGCTTCCAACCTCCCCCCAATAGCCACACCTTCGCCGTCATATTATTACTTAAAATTAAATATCCTAATACATTAGTAGCTATCCTAGCTGTGTTGAGTTAGTTGAGCCGCAGATCTATGCGGCATTCAGTGACTGTTGCCTCATAGTCAATATCTGCAACTGTTGTCGGCTTTGGGGCCGATGCTCTCGTTCCCCTGAGGCAAAGCAAAGCAGACCTAAGGAGAGTGAAGGACAGTCGAATATCTAATCCAGGCTGTAACATAACTTCTGGGCTGCTGTTTCTGTTCGGATAGCACCTCCGCGAGTCTGGCGTAGAAGCATCTTGCACTTGGTCCCATCCCACCAGAGGTTGTAAACACCAGAGGAGGGAAGCTGCCTTGATCAACGTTCTGAATTCTCTCCCCGTATGCCCTTATCTTGTCGTTCTCGTTCCTCCTGTGTGCAGCATCGAGAGCTAAGTTACGGTGACATGCGGCCATGGGATAAAAAATCCTGATGTCGAAGAAGGCTCGCTGTGCCCGCGTCCATAATCCTCGAGCACTGACGTCAACACGGGCTTCGTTGGATGTGTTTGAAGTCCTATGTTGGAAATTCTCACCGTCCAATGGAAGGAGGGTCGGTTCTACAGTGACATCACGACAGATTTCCTTCAACATATTTCCTGTGAGATCCCTTACTTCGTCATGCCTCATGCATGACGTCATAGGAAGAGCCACACATGCAATGGGAGGGCAAACCTTCTACTGGCCTAACGTACCTTAGAGCAATGGCATCGGTAAATTCTTGATTATTGAGACTAAAACCATTTGCCCTTATCGGTAACTTAGTTAACCAGTTCGAGGCGCCCACCTCCTGCGCTATAGCTATTTTTTTCCAAATTCTCTGGTACTTGCAGCATCAGTTGCTGCAACTTATCACGTTGGCAGTGCTGTCGTAATGGACCTTCGATACTTGTTTACTTCACTGATATCCACCTCACCTGTTGGGTTCTGAGCTATTATGTGGTCAGTGAGGGCTGCCGTGAGCTTAACTGAGTTTTGATGTTCGGTGGCAACAATCTCTTCTGGATTGGTCAATCCCATTCCTCCCAGTCTCGGTGGTAGTGTAAGGAGTAATCTATCTGCTGGGGTTAAGTGAAGGTGTTTTACTAATTTGGGAATGAAATTGACGCTGGTAGCTTCTTCCAGAGGGTAGACGAGGGGTCCGATATCAGGGATAGTGCGCATCAGGTAGTTCCAGGGATGCTTGACTCCATGGGTGAATGCTGCAAGAGCCACATGTGGCTCTGTGTTAGCAATATCAGACAGGGTTTGGATTTCCCGAATCCACTCATTCACCTTTCTCGTTACGTACTCGGTCTTGAAGTTCGTCGTTCCGATTACTGCGCCTAAGTGTCTTTAACCATCCTTTATTATTTTGACCTCACTTCCACAGAACACCTTCATTGCCCGTTAGTAATGTTCTGGTTTCACAATGAAGAAGGACTTGCTCTCGTTTGGGTGGTACCCTATTTGTGGACCTCGTGATGTTACCAGGTCCCACCAATTTCTGATATCCTTCACTTTTCCTGCTTCTGTAAGGTCGTCAGCATACGCCACTTGCTTAACCTCGGTTGTTTCAATTTTTATTGTGTGTTGGAGCACGGATAGGCGTACATTGCCATTGCAGCAGGGTCCCTCTGTGTTGTTCCCTCAGTTGACTGTATGGTGGTATCCTCTCTTAGAGCCTTGTTGTTTACTATATAGAGGTCTGATGGACTCCTTTAGGTGTTTTCAACATACATTGCAAAGCTTGGACACTTGATCTTCGTGTTGTGCAGTTCGGCCTTGCGGTTAAGTATGTTGAATGCATTTGAAGCGTCCACCAGGAGAACGGCCTCACAATCACGCTGCTCAAATATCGTTCTCACGGCGTGAATGGCAGCTTTCCCTCCAGCCTGGTGGCCAGCACAAACTTGCAGGTTCCATGCTGCTGCCCTAACATCATCCTTTACCACCTCCATTGTGTATTTTCCGATGATCCGCCTCAGCACTTCCTCCACCCCTATAGGCCTACATCCTGGATTCTTATCCAGGGGAATGAGGCGGCAGGCCATGAGAGCATGGAGGAGTTGGCAGCACGAGGTTGCTATCTTTCTTGCAAGGGCGGCAATGGTAGTGCAGAGATCACGTGCTACCGGGCCAAACTTTTTAGTGCTGAGGATGACTCTCCAACCGTTTGCATCCAGACTTGAAGGGCCAGCCCATCCCTGAGTTTTCAGGGCCTTTTTCCACACCATCCCTCCTGTTATTTTCTCGAACAGGACAGCATTTGGTGGGATATAGTCACCTTGGAACCTGATGCCTTCGTCTTCACTTGCAGGGGGATGTTTGTCCTTCAGGTGTATTAATGTCTCTCTGTTTATTAGCAGAACCCCACCGGAGGATTTCTTTGTGAGAGATCTTACCGCCAAAGATACTTTTCCCACACGCATTTTGTTTCCAAACTTTCTTGCAACGTCATCGGTGTTTTGCTTTCCGTCTCCAATAAATTTTAGTCTCTCCTGCAGTGTTCTTGCTTCACATAGGAGCTCATGAAGTGCTCCATTCTACAACATTGTCAATATTCTCTTCAATGCTGCCACATTTTCTTTGTGCTTAGTCTTTGTGTGTGTCCTCTGACAGAATAGACGTGGTATTATTGCCAGTATTTGAAGAGCTAAAGGGGCTACGAAGCGGTTCTGAGTCTACTCGGTTATGAGGCGAGTCATCTCCCAAATCATTTCCTTGGGTGGTTCAAACAGGTTAGCTGGCTACCACCTGACAATTTCTGAGTAAGTTTATTTAAGCCATATCTCCGCATTTTCCATCGATATGCCATTCCACTGTGGTGGCTGTCTCTCATTCACCTTGTGGACATCTGCTACTATTGGAGCAGCGTTTATTGGTTACTACATTTTCAGGTTGAGTAGACCATGTGGGTTCCGACAATTGTTTCCCTTTCTGCAAATCACACATGGTCGGTTTTTTCTCACACAATCACAGCTAGTGCAATTTTGGTTCTGGCTAGCACAGACGCAACTATGTCTGTTACCCAGCATATTGTTCTGCACTTTGGGCTACAGTTACGTTCGCCTCCGACATCTGCTTTGGTCCCATACAGCAGAATAAACTAGTTCTTATGAGGAAATGGCGGAGAGGTGACAGGCTGGATTGCTGTGTCCGGGTAGTAGGGGCATACGTGCGCGCGTGGGTGTGTAGGCCACCCCCCTGAGGGCGACAATCCACACATCAGAGTGATAGGAGCAAAAATTTTCACACCTAATACTTGTTTATATATCCTTGGCAGAAATAACCACTATTTCTATGGTCGCACTGATGTAAGATTAGTTATATATACTCACTTCGTCGACTGTCACTACATGAAATGACCGTTACTTATGGGAGGTGACCGCAAGTATAGAACACTTGGCCCCTAGGGGCGAGAGTCTCGATGCCACCCCCGCCAAAGTAGGCCTATCGACACTGGCACTGGCACCTGGCACCTGCACCAGCCGTCCCGCCAGCACTTACAACTCGCTTGGTGATCGCCGGTGAACACACGGACTATTCGCGATTAATGCCGTAAGGGATGAAAAGAACCTTCGGTGACAATGCTTAGGGTGACATCCGGTATTCACCGACACACTGTGAAATTCCCGCTATCATACTCCGAATAAGTCCCCTCCAATAACACTTTAGATCAGGGAGGACACTCCACCACACCCACGCTGCGCTGGCCTACTACTACTACTATTACTTTTTTTTTCAACATTACTCAGAATAGTGTATTTTAAGAAATCGTGTGGTGCTACTACAATACCTCCTCCGATTACTACTACTACTACTACTACTACTACTACTACTACTACAACTCAGTGGACGAAACCAAAGCCACCACTATATACTTGTCTTACCTGCATGCCCATCACATGAACATGGTTCATCCAGGTTCATTCTCGAAACACCTCAACGACACACTAACCAGGAATAACATTGCACCTGTTGAAATAAACGACGATGTCCCTTCAAAAGAAGTCATGAAGGCAGTAACCCACTCAACGACTTCACGTCGACCTCAACCCACGCCAGAAATGGACCCTGACTTAGGCCAAAGTTTGCAAAACCGTAGCCCCAACGTAGCCAGTCAGTCCCCCTGGAATCACAGCGCCAGCGACACCACAAATCTCCGTGATCCTAAGACATGTACTCCCAGTGACAACAGCGACTATCGGGCTACAACTACAGTCAAAGTTGCGACCAGGTGATGGTGACTTACTCCACACAGAAACAAGACTCTCGAGCTGCAGCGTCAGCAGATGAACTTCTTCGTGTACACGGGTGACAATCAGATGTTCAGGCCTCTTAGAAATGGCGGAAGCTGAGCAAACACTTCAAGCGACACCCCAAGCTACAGTTTCCGAAATGTCAGTCGTTAGCAGGATGAAAATTGTTCAACATAATGTCCTACACTGGTCCCTTAATAGTCGTAACGAACTCTCTAACTTATACTACAAATTTGACCCAGATATTATTCTGTTAAACAGTGCTGGCATAAAGGACGAAAGTAAGCTGAAAATTTTTGCCTACACTGTATACCAGGCGAACATGACCGGTGAGCTGAACGA